GACACAGGGAGCAGCACGAGGGGACAGCTTGTCCGCAGACAAGTCGCGGACAAACGCCCGAGATCCCCAGACACGGAACACAGACGCATCGCCAACCTTCCCCGTCCACAGCAAGGCTGGGGACATCGCAGGCCGAGAGACCCGGGGGTGAAGGTTGAGCTGATGCGCCGCGTACCTCACCGCAAACGGCCACAGAAAATGGGGGGCAGCCGCATGCATCATGGACGTACGAGCGACATCCATGACCATGCCAATGCGGCGCTCAGCAATCCCATTTTGCTGTGGTGAGTCCGGAAGCGTGAAGGTCTGGCGGATCCCCCGTGCACGGCAGTAGTCTCGCAGAAGGCGAGAAGAGAACTCTCCGCCTCTGTCCGAGTGCAGACGCAGAACAGGAAAGTCCGAGCCGAAGCTCTTCCTGAGCTGGAGACGAGCCTCGCGGATCCAGTCGATCAGCACCTCTGTGACCGCACCCTTGCTGCGCAAGGGGAGGACTGTGGTGTAACGCGAGTAGTCGTCAACCACCAACAGGAAGTAGCGCTCGTGACCCTGCCCACGGACGGGGGCTGGGCCCCACACATCCATGTGAAGCGTCTGCAGGGGAGCCTCTGTCGGGGGGAAGTGGGAGGAGTGAGGAGTAGCCCGGAGGCGACCCTCGACACAGGGGACACAGGAAGGTCCTGGCCCGGAGGGGAGAGGAGGGAGAGACCGGGGAAGACCTGAGACAAGGACACGGGAAGCCATGCTCCGAAGACGGGGCAAGGAGGGATGGCCAAGACGGTGGTGCCACAGGAGAGTCTCGTGAGACAGGAGGCGACAAGAACAGGGGGCAGACTCAGGACCTGACCGGGACGCAGCAGCAAGCACCTGACCTGACGCAGCCACCTGACCAGACGCAGGGACAGGAGGAGACTCAACTGTCAGGGTGTAGAGACTCGACCCAGGCCGACGCGAGAACGTGGTCAGGTGGCGGCCTGTGCGTGCCTCCGTGCAGTGGGTCACCCGCTGACTCGCAGGAGTGAACTGGTGAACCCCCACATCCTGCAGGTCCGCTCCACTCACCAAGTTCGTAGAGAACGAGGGAAGGTACAGACCAGACAGGGTGCCCGAAGGGGCAGCCGGACACGGGAGGACAGTGGAGAAGTGAGACAGGACAGGACCCCAAGAGGGGTCAGCAAGGGAGACCGCAACCGGCCGGCCGAGCGGCGTAAGGGTAGTGCGGTCCCGAAAGAAGGAGCGAGAAGCCCCGGAGTCAAGTGTGAAAGTGAGGGAGGACGAGGACGACGCAGTACCTGAGAGCGCAGTCTCACCAGTACCTGAGAGCACAGACGCACTGGCACCTAGAGCAGCAGCCTCACAAGCACCTAGCGCAGCAGCACCAATGCCCGGGTCGGGCTGGAAACACCGGTAACCCTCATTCTCCTCACTATAATCCACAGCATACATAGCAGCAAGGATAGCATCAAAATCAAGATCAAAGATCGCTACACCAGCCCTAAGAAGCTCATCCCAGCGAGGGATCTCACTAGCCCCAGGGAACTGCCGACGCCAAGCGTGCGTCAGGCGGCCAAAGCAGCGCTGGGTGGCGTGGGCACCCCCACACTGCTCACCCGCGCGGTCGCCGGAACGAAGAACGTAGGTGCAGGGACCAGTACCCCCACCCCTCTAACGCCCAGCGTACCACTCACGAAGCTGCTGAGGCGAAGGGATGTCCCGCGAGCGCTGCTGCTGCTGCCGCTGCGAGCGCTGGCCACCACCACCGCCGCTACGCTGCTGGGTACCACCCCGACCAGCTCCACCTCCTCCACCACCACCGCCTCCTCCGCTGCCGCCTCCACCGCCTCCACCTCCGCCGCCTCCACCTCCGCCGCTGCCACCACCACCACCGCTGGCACCACCACCACCGTCTCCGCCGCTGCTGCCACCACCACCACCACCACCCCCGCCACTAGTCCCGCCACCACCCCCACTCCCTCCGCCGCCACCGCCGCCACCGCCACCGCCCCCTCCAGCTCCACCCGCGCCCTTGCCCCCCTTGCCCTTGCTAGAGCGACGTCTCCCACTAGGGGTAGACGCCGCGCCGACCGACTCAAGACCAAGCAGGTCGGCAGCAGCAGCAGAGGCAACAGAGGGCAGCAAGGGGGAAGGAGAGCACCCCTCAAAGATGGGGGTGCGAGGGTCACCACGAGAAGCACCTACAGCGACTATGCTCTTCTCCGCTGCGAGGAGGGCCTTCTCGAGGAGGTCGACGGTGAGGGTGGTGGGACAGACAGCAAGAAAGTGGTCCCTGACGAGGCGAAGGGAGTCAGGGAGGCGCGCGACTACGTAGTAGAGAGCGATGTACATGGGGGGGGGGTTCTTAGCGCAGAACTCAGCAGGAAGGGCGGCGCGGTAGCGAGTGTCACTAGTGCGGAGGTGCGTAATGAGGTCAGCAACAGTAGGAAAGGCAGAGAGGTCAGGAAAGAGGTAGGGAAGCATGAGACGGCTCAGTGCAGCAGTGGCAGGGGAGGAGTAGCGCGCAACTACAGCGTCGTACAAGGTCTGAGCACTCTTGTACTGACTAAAGTGCGCACGCTCAGAGGTAGGGAGGTGGCGACGCACAGCAAGACGTGCAGCAGCATCGCGGGTGGACCACTGAGAGCGGACAGTGGGATCAGCATCAGCAGCAGGAGCAGGAGAGGCGCCAGAGGTGAGGTCAAAGAGAGAAAGGTCGTCAGCCCTGTCGCACTGTAAGAACAGCTGCAGGTCGTCTAACCAGACCTCAAAATCAATGGCGCGACCCTCAGCGTCGAAAGCTAGGACACTAGGGGTAGCCATGGCGACGACAGCGACGCAGTGCAAGCAGTAGGGAAAGAGCTCGCAGTGTCACTGGGACTGTGCTCACCAGGCAGGGCAGGTCGTGCAGCTCTGCAGAAAGGCGGCTCAGCGACCGGGCAGCTCGGGTGCACAGCGGCTCGGCTCCCGGGCGGCTCGGTGGCTGGGCTGCTGGGGCGCAGGGCGGCTCGGCTCCCGGACGGCTCGGCGGCTGGGCGGCTCGGGTGCAGGGCGGCTCGGCTCCCGGGCGGCTCGGCGGCAGGGCGGCTCGGGTCCCGGGCGGCTCGGCGTTGGGCGGCTCGGCTCCCGGGCGGTTCGGCTGCTGGGGCGGCTCGGCCGGGAGATGCAGGGGCGGGGCCGTCAGGTGCAGCGGCGGGTCGACCGGTGCAGTGGCGGGCCGGCAGGTGCAGCGGCGGGCCGGCAGGTGCAACGGCGGGCCAGCAGGTGCAGCGGCGGGCCGGCAGGTGCAGGCGGCGGGCCGTAGGGTGCAGCGGCGGGCCGTAGGGTGCAGCGGCGGGCCGGCAGGTGCAGCGGCGGGGCCGTCAGGTGAAGCGGCGGGCCGCTGGGTGCAGCGGCGGGCCGGCAGGTGCAGCGGCGGGCCGGCAGGAGCAGCGGCGGGCCGGCAGGAGCAGCGGCGGGGCCGTCAGGTGAGGCGGCGGGCCGGCAGGAGCAGCGGCGGGCCGTAGGGTGCAGCGGCGGGGCCGTCAGAGGCGGCGGGCCGCTGGGTGCAGCGGCGGGCCGGCAGGTGCAGCGGCGGGCCGGCAGGAGCAGCGGCGGGCCGGCAGGAGCAGCGGCGGGGCCGTCAGGTGAGGCGGCGGGCCGGCAGGAGCAGCGGCGGGCCGTAGGGTGCAGCGGCGGGGCCGTCAGAGGCGGCGGGCCGTAGGGTGCAGCGGCGGGCCGTAGGGTGCAGCGGCGGGGCCGTCAGAGGCGGCGGCGGGGCCGTCAGAGGCGGCGGCGGGGCCGCGGCAGTAGAGGCGGGGCCGCGTCAGGGAAGGCGGCGGGGCCGCGACAAGCAGGCGGCGGGGCCGCGATCAGGAGAGGTGGCGGGGCCGCGTCTGAGGGACAGCGGGGCCGCGAGGGAAAAGGCGACCCGAGGGGTCGCTAAAAAAAAGGCGCGCCTCGGGGCGCGCTTCGGTGGGCCCTAAAAAAAAAACGGTCCTAAGGCAGGACCCGCTCTATACCATGTGAAGCAAGGAAAACAGGAATGAAATGACTAAGTGGAAGTTGGGTACAAATACAACCCTAGAAAGCTGTACCCTATATGTGCTACCCCACTATAGCCTACAAACATGCATCAACTATGATAATCTGACAACTTGAACCACCTTGCGCTAGTATGTGAGGGCAAAGTAAGTTGATTAAAACAAAGAGATACAAGGATATATATATGAATACAGAGAATATGAAGAGACATTATAACTACTTTTACTGTTGCGGTTCGATACAGTGCGACTCGGGCAACTGCTCGATGTCGAGTCAGTTGTGTGTCCTTGCTGTCGCGCTGCATTTGTCAGGTCAAAGGTCGCTGACCTTTGACTTTCGCGTAACCTCCAGCGGTTACATCAACCTCCGAGGGTTGACTCGCTGGTGCCTCCATATGCGCTGCTTCGCTTGTGTCTTGGTGTTTCGACACGACAGAGGCGCTTAAGAAGTTTTGGCCTGGACTGTTCATCAGGTGGCATACATGGAAAAACCAAACGAGAATTCCCTGCTAAGCTATGCAAGATTGTGTAAATGATGGTGTTGTGCTTGCTCCCTGTAACAGCAGGGTACAGTGTATTGTAACTTGTATCCCCCCGTATGAGCGTTACACATCAGGTCGGCTTGGGTCGGGTTGGGTCCAAGGAGTAAAAAGATCTTTTAGGTGGTATCTTCTAGCACAGAGAACAAGCATCTAGGTATAGATTTATGAACATGTTGGCACACAACTTTCCCCTGAACCACCAGAGACCAGAACCACATGTGCCTTGCATTGCATGGCAGCAGATGCTCATACAACAGCGGCTTGCTTCAAGCACTGGCTGGCACCACTTGCCTGGAGGTGTCCTGACAATTTCCTAACAGACCACAGGCGGAGGTGATCGCAAAGAGAGTTCCGTGGAACCAAGCCTAAATCAGTTTGCGGGACCTACCAGTACCGTATTACCCAAGGCAGCTGCGAGAAAAGTATCCAGAGCCGTTTTAAGAACTTAGGGTTGCGAGCTTGGGTTTCCTTTTGAGGGAGGAGAGAGGAATTTTTGCGAGAAGTTGTGCATGCGCTCTTGGAACCCGTCCACTCCGATGGTCCCCAGCATCAGCGCCACCGTGCCGCCCTGCGCCACCACGCGCGCGCGCATGAGCATCTGGCTGCGTCGGTCGTTGCCCTGCTTGAACGACGCTAGCCCCGCCACCAGCACCGCTGCCGTTGTGAACGCGCCTGGTAGGTGATACGACGCGCATGGGAGGGATTAAATAGGAAACAAGTTTCTGGTAAGGAGACCGCATGTAGTGAGTATGCTTAAACTTTGGCGACTCAAAAGCCGTGAACGGTCCAGGTGTATAATGCTTCTGGGGCGTGCGCAACCCTTTGGACGGAGGCGGAGACACGGAGGTTGACGAATAGAGTAGCGGGATACTACAGGTTATGAACCGTGGAGGCCTCGTTGTGGAACGTGTTCAGGAGGGCAAGCAGCTTACCGAGTAGCACAAGCGGATTCTTGTCTTTCTGCTGGAAAAGCTCGGCGTCGACGGTAGCCATGGTGGCGATACGCAGTGCGTACGGTGGTGGAAAATTGCGCGAACAAATGCTCGTGTTCTAGTAACCGCAAGCAAACACGGCGGGGAAGAACCGCAGCCACGGACTGGAAGCAGCGAAGGAAACTCTGGTGGGGAGTTAGGGAAACAAATCCGACTGGCTCGGTTTGAGATTCGAACAAGGTACCTAGAGCGGGATTGAGTACTAGGCTGCAACGACCGGTTGGTAATTTATTCAGGTAGGGATGCAAGCGAGTGGTGAGGAAGACGCACTGGAAGTACTGGGGTTGCTCCACTTGATGAGGCGCAGTGACGAAACATGCGAAAAGCGAGAAGGGCGTAGAATGGCTGTCATTGCTTCGCGAGACTGGGTAACTCACTCCTCCGCAAAGACTTCGCCAGCTTCGTGAGAAGCTGCTTGAGAAGCTTCAAAAGCAGGAGCTGGAGCTTTCCGTATGGGTGGCAGTTCTGAGACGTGGCAGGCAACTGGTGGTTGATCGTCCGCGACTGCATGACTCGAAACAATTTCAGCTCGAAATAGTGGTGCGACGACAACACGTACTAGCAGCCCATAATAAGCCCTTCACTATCGCCAAAAAACATCCCATGTTCTGTTTCCAAGTACCACATATGTTCTGATTGCAATATATTTCTACTGGCATTTCCTCATGCTTAAAACTTGTATACATGTATGCAGGCCCGATTGGAACAGCCCTGCCAATATTTATTACCTGACACCCCTAAAGCTTGTATGAGAAGGTACACGGCAGGCCTGTTCCCCCAACCCAGGAGCTCAGATCAATAAAAGCATTTGGGAGAAACCTGGAGGCCACTACTGGTGAGATCTGCCCTGGCTGCACCCACGAGGGCCGCATCTTTGGCCGTGCCCCTGGTCCGTAGCTCTGGAACTCTGCAAAGTAGGGAGTGCGGCTGTTGATGCGATTGTGCCAGGCCTCCCACCCTTCATTCATGATGTTCTGTCAAGTGGGAGGTGGGGTGCGTCACACACGGAGGGAGGGAGGTTGTTCAGATGCAGCAGAATGATGAGATGCACTTGACGAGGTGAACTTAAACTTCACACCAGATATAACGCTGCAGTAAACGTGTGCATACCGAGTCAAGATACGTCCGGATGTAGATCGTGCGGGCACACATCCCCCACGGCCGTGCGAGAGCTATTCGGGTCGCTCCAGCAGTTTCAACTCTTGAATCTATAAACACAAAGCCACCCGTATCATTCGCCAAGGCTCGGCCCGAGGCTGCAATGTAGCTCTGGTTGCGGCCCTTGCGCACGCGCAGGCGGCAGCGGTCAAACACGGCGGAGGCGTAGCCGAATATGAAGTCCACGCTGCCCTCAATGGTGCAGTTGTGGTAGTACTGCCGCTTGCCCCACGCGAACACCGTGTCCTGTTGGAATTCGTGGGGAAACGATCAAGGAAGACGCACGAAGCATGAAGTGAGACGCAGCATGCCCCGGCTCACTGGCTGCTGCTCACTGGTTGCTACTCGATGCTGGTGAGAAAGCTCATTGCTGTGGTTACATGTTCTTTGGAGGGTGAGGTGAGACGCGAAGAAGAGGCGAGAGGGAAGGTGTGTGGAATCTGCCGGGGTGTGGGATGGGTTGCGAGTGGCGCACCTGGTAGCCCGAGAATCTGCACTGGTAGAATGCGGAGCGGTCCGCATTGACGAGTAGCGCCACTGCCTGCATGCCAGCTACCCCTGCCGTGTTCTCCACTGCTATCCCCATTGCCACCAACCCCGACATCTGCACTCCTGCCAAACACAGAGCACAAACGAAGACACGCACATGGGCAGGAACGCAGGGACGGTGGTCAGGGGTTGGATAAGATCGGCAGCCGGCGCTGTCGCGAGGTACGAGTGCGACTCTTAAAAACAAGGCGCTGTAAGCGGTTTGTTTCTGGGATATCTTCTCAAACACTAGGCTGAGATGGGGGTAGGTACACCTAGCCAGCAGCAGCATTGCGTCCGAGTGCAAGTAGCCGGCAGCAGCAGCAAAGGCAAGAAGAAGGCATGCTGTGTTGCACTACCTAGCACGGCCGAATCAGTGAGCGACGCCCCGTGCCCAGCCTGGCTGCGATTGAACGACAGAATTGTGCGACTGGGCCCGTCGCCCAGGAGGGTGAGTCGTCGCACGCCGACTCGCACCTGCTCCTCGTACCGCCCCGCCTTGATGTAGATCACCGCTCCCTCCCTCGCCGCCGTCACTGCCGCCTGTTCTCGCGGAGATCGGGAGGGAAGGGTTTGGGTGAGGAAAATTGGGTGCGAAAGGCTGTTATGGTGCAACGAAGAAGGGGAATGCAGCAGAGGGTCCCCTCTGGGAGCGTACAGACGGAATGAGAAGAGGGGAACGAAGTAACAGAGGGGGGAGGTGCAGGCTACAGGCGTAGCACGGCTTAATTGCGGGAGAGGGATGCTCGGTGTGAGGCACGACGAGGGCGACAACGCGACAACGAATGGGGCCGAGGCACGTGCCTGGACGGTGCGGTAGTCGCCGGAGCCGTCTTTCGCAACCACGGCCGTGGGCTTCAGTCGTCGCACCAGCTGCTGCCACTCCGCCACCCTGCCCGGACTCGCGCAGCTGCCCATTGCTAGCGTGGATGACGGCGGTGGCGCCGCCGCCGCCGCCGTTGCTGGCGGCGACAGCGACGACGAAGTGGATTTGTCCGGCGACGCCGGCAGTTTGTTCTGCGGCGCTGTCGCTGTTGGTACCGCACCGGCGGCCCCTGCCCCTGCGGCCGCCGTCTCTCGACCGTTACGTCTCTGCTGCAGTGCGCGAGACACGGGCCATGGCAACATAACGGAAGCACGGTCTACTCCTCTCCTCCTATTCCCGCTGTACTCGCTGCTGCTGATACCTCCAGTGCCGCTGACAAAATCACTATATGCCACGTGGTTGCTCTGCCGGAGGCCCCTCAGGCTTCTGCCGAAACTGCTGTCTGTACCGCTGCTGCTCCCTGGAGTGATATGCACTCTGTATTGACTGCTGCTGCTGCTGTGCCTGTGCTGTACGCGATTGCTGGCAATGATGCCTTTCCATTGGGTAACGTGTTCAGCGGTACTTTCGCCGTTAGAGCTACGCGGGAGAGAGCCGATGCCCACTTCCCACCAACGCTGTTCTTTCGTGCTGAAAGGCCCGGCGACCGTCGATGCCGCGATTGCTGCTGGAATGAGGACTGTTAGAGCGGATGCGACTATCAGCAGTGGTGAAGGTGATACTAAGCGCCACGGGCGTGATCCGGCACGCGACGCTCGACGATTCATCGATCGCTGCTGGTGCGCTTCCACATAAAGACGTTGCCGCTTTCTTCGGTTACCGTTCCAGGGCTCTACGAGCATCATGTCAGGTGTGTTTGGAAAATGATTACGCTCACGTAGTTTCTTGGCGCTCTCGTGTGGAACACACTGCGATGCTGAACCTTGGTACGTCGACGTGGCTTCTATGCAGGCTGGGATTCGCCCTGTGCATCAACGAACTTAGTACTCTCGAGGTGCCTCAAACCCAGACATCTACGCGTCGTGACTCGTGAACGAACAGGACTCAGCCGAGACGTCTCGTTTTGAATGACAAACGCTATGGAAGCCCTTGAGTGTGTTCAATCTCTAAATGTTTTATCTCTAAATCTCTAGCTGTTGAGAGACAACCGACCTCGGAGAAAAGAAACAGGGGACACAATGACGCAAGGGCCTACAGCGACATAGGATTCGTGTTCGAATCGACGCGCGTGTTCTTTCATTGTCGGTCACGGTTAGAAGGAAGGAACTCCAAGCCCCCCCATGGAACAGATGTGGTGGACTGTGTGGGTTTGTGTTGTGGGTGCAAATGGTACGGAATTTGACGGTTCTTTCGGAAGTGGAATGTGCGGAAATGTCAATGTGGGAAATGTGGAAATTTGCCGAGTCGCTCGACAATGTTCGAAGCGCATGCCTTCCCGAAATTGTCCCCAGCGACTTACGTGGCTTGAATGCTCCGACAAGACAGGAGCCAGTCTAGACGCGACAAGGTGCGACTCTCGTGCTGTGCTAAGTGTACGGCTTCGATATTATGAACATTGCTTTCTAGATTATTGAATGGTTCCACAGAAATGGAGAAACAACCCTTAGGGAATGTTGGCCAGAGTATTGCAGACAACAAATATGTTCATACGAGTAAAAATCACCCTCTCAAGGTAGTTATGGCTCTTAGAAACAACCTTAATCCATTTCCGATTCAAGAACTGGATAGAGCAACCATGTGCTTGTTAGGATTCGGAGCAGTTACCACAACCACCACCACGCCGAGTCGCCAGCCCAGAAGAAAGGCAGCACCAGCAAAACCAAGGCCTAGAGTGAAAGCAACACCCAGAAGCAGGTAGCGGGAGAGGGGAGAGGAGGGCAAGAGGGATGAGAAGAGCGAGAAGGGCAGGAAGGGCTGGGAGGGTGGGTGTGGAGGTTGGTTTCGACTGGTGCTGCTTTGCCTTTGCCCCTGATGCTCTTGCTGATGTTCCTGGTCATGCTGCTGCTGATGGTGGTGGTACTGGTACTGTTCTGATTGTTGATGGCCCTGCTCGTAACGGTACTGGGGAAGTGGCTGCTGCTGGCGCAGCACTTGTGTGCTGTTACCGGTTCGTTCAGAGAAAAGAGCCTCCGCCATCCTGTCACCAGCAACTGCTTCCCCAGCAGCACATGGCTCAGATGCACAGCCATCATCAGCACAATGTGAGCCCCACGCCTCCCTGTGATATGTATTGCTGATGCCCGACCCACCTGCTGCTGCTGCTGCTGCTGCTGCTTCAGCCTCAGCACCTATCAGCATGAGCAGCTGATCCTTCTCCACCTGTTTGTGTTTCCACAAGCAGCATGCGCACCAATCCATGCAAAAAACAAACAACACACACAGAGGATTTGGAAGAGGGAGAGATGCAAGGCAAGGAGAAGGACCCTGGCGAAGAAGCTGGAAGGCCAAGGTCCTAGAGGAAACACAAACTGCAGACACAGGCACTTAGGCGCTTTCTGAAAGGGCCGAAAGGTCTCAAAGGGCTGAAACGGCTGAGGGGGCTGAAAGGTCTGAAACGGTTGAAAGGCATCAAATGCATCCGTCCCAGAGCACGGGCACAGCAGGGTTCACCTGCAGCTGCAGCATGTGCGCCCACTGGTGGAAGGAGTATGAGCGCGTGCACTCATGCCAGAACAGCTGCTCCAGCCACTGCTGCCTGCTCTCCGCCTCTGCTGCTGCCTGCTCTGCCTCCCTCGCCCGCGACTGCGAGTGGCACAGCGCCTCCGCCACTGCCGCTGCTTCTGTGGGTGAAGACAGAAGCTCATATGCATGCCCACGCCCTTGCCCATGTGCATGAGGATGCGCATGCGCAGCATGGTGATACTCTTGAGAATGATGTCTATGTACATGGGTGAGATTATCCATATCCTTCTGTTCAAGCTGCTGCTGCTGCTCGTTCCAGAGCCCCACACCCGCTGCAGACGCACCTGCTGCACCACCTGAAGCAGGCTGTGCGCAATCAAGTGGGGAACTTGCAGGTGGAGCCGGGGCGAGCGGAGCACCCAAGGCGCTGCTGCTTCCCACAGGCCTTGCAGAAAAGGAGGAGGTGACGGCGTGTGTGGCACGGGAGGAGAAGCATGTTACGGGAGGTGCTCTGGGAAGGATATCCCTGGGTTGTGTGAGAAGCGCATTGCATTGACTACCCATCATGCTGTCCCCTGTCGGTGCGGTCTCCTGTGCGCTCTCCTCTGTGATCTCCTGTGCACATGTCATGTTATGTGCACTGCGTGTGGTGGTGCACTGACTGCGCTCATCAGTGCGTTTAGTGCGGCGGGGAGGAGCCATGGGGCGCAGCGGGGAGCAGGGCGAGGCAGACGCAGCGGAGGAGGAGGCAAGGGATGAGGAGGTGGAGCTGGGCGATGGGGAAGGGGACGAGCCGGGAGAGCAGGGCGGGAAGGGAATGTGTGCGGAGGGAGCGAGTGAGGAGGAGGATGTGTGGTGCAGTGGATAACCAGAGGGGTGACCAGGGGAGTGACTAGAGGGGTGACTCTGGTGACGAGTAGGCGGTTGCCAAGCGTGGTTCTGCTGATCAGCGGACTGAAGCACGTGTGTTTCATCCATGGACCGCCGCCCTCCACTGCGCCACATGCTCTGCTGCTGCACCCTCTCGCTGCACTCTCCACGCTCCCACTGCTCCCACCGCTCCCTGCTCTCCCCTCGCTCTCTGCCCTCGTTGCTCTCCCTGCTCTGTCCACTCGCACCAGTCACTGCCACGCACGCAGTGCGCTCCCCCTGCGCGCGCACAGCTGCCCCCGCCTCACCTGCGCGCCCCTCTGCCAGCCCTCCGTCCTTCCCTCTCTCCATTCCTCTTTCAGCCTCTCGCGCTACACCTCTTCCTGTCCCCCCCCCTGCCACCAGCTCCCACCCACCTCCTGCCTCCTCTCGCTTTTGCCTCCACACCTCTCTCTCCGTCCCCTCCGCCCCTCCTCTCCAGTCCGCTCTCATCCCGCCCAACCCCCCCACTATCGTCCACCCATCATATTGGCCGCCCTCTTCCCTAGTTTCCATCTTTCCACCCTCCCGCCCACGCTCCTCTCTTCCCTGCGTTCCCTGATTGGTCCCGGACTCTGGATTCAACTCCGACGTGGCAGAGCATAGCTGCCATTCCCACGCGGATTGCGCCACGAGCCGCGGAGAGTGCGGGCGGGACGGCGCAGGCGGCGGAGGCGGACTGAGAAGCGCGGAGTGCGCGGCGGCTGGCGGCGAGCACGCTCGGCGGGCAGCAGCCGCGGCGGAGGCGGACAGAGGAAGGTCGGTGGGCGCGGAGAGAGGCGGAAGGCAGGAGGAGGAGCGAGACAGATGGGACGCGCGAGCCCAAGAAGTGAGAGAAGCGTTCAAAGAAGACCCAGAATCTAAGAACGAGGAGCCATGGCCGCCCGCGCTCAGTAAACCCGCCCTTTGCGGCGGAGGACTCGCGCCGTGAGCCGCGCTAGGAGTCACAGTATGGCTGTGGCTCCGCCTCCCGCTGTACACGTGCGACGAGCGATACGCCAGCGGAGAGTGCGCGTGGGACGCAACCTGCGACGCCACCTGCGACGGCATCTGCGACGCCGTCTGCGACTGGCCGTCCGCAGTCGCCTTCTGCCACCACCACGACGCCGAAACGGCGGCGGAGGAAGCTGAAGAAGATATTGCGGCGGGAATATTAGACTCGAGGCGCGTGGCGGCGACGCCCGCTGATGTCGCGAGGGCCGCCGCGGGAGGGACGTGCAACACGCCGTGAGAGAACGAGGGGCGCTCGCTGCCGTGATCAAGACGAAATAAAAAAATCCGACAAAAAAGAGGGCGCGTCATAAGTGGCATAAGGAAGGGGCGGGATTGAAACGAATTGTTATTCACCAAGTTCAGGGCCATACTTTAAAAACTAAAAATTTGTGGGTGAAAACGCGCGCGCGTACCTAGCGTGCACGGTGGCGCCCGGGAGCAGCTGCGTGGCGGCGAGCGCCGTGAGTCCCGCGCCCATGAGCGTCAGCACGGAGCGCGCCACGTGCAGCAGCCCCGCCGCCGAACGCGCAAATGGCGCCGCTGCGGCCGCCGTCGCCGTAGCCCGCGCCGCAACCGCCGCTGTAGCTCGGGCGGAAACGGCGGTCGTGGCTGCAGCAACTGCGCCTGCGGGCAGCGAGACGGCGGGCGCTCTCGTCGTCACTCCCAAGGGCAGTCCGCCGACCGCTTTCGCTCCAACACCGGCCGCTGTTGAACCGCAGCGCGCTGCCGTTGCCGCTGCTGCTGCGGCGGCAGTTGCGGCGAGAGGGGACTTTGATGCAGAGAGGGTCTGGAACGACGGGAGAAATTCACGGGCGGCAACACCGAGAGACGATCCTGCTGCTGACGATACCGATGACGATGATGATGACAGTAATGCTGACGCAAGGCGGGCAGATGAGGAGTGGAGGACGGCGGAGCACGGGGTAGTGGGGTCCGGTAGCGCGAAGCAGCGACGTAAAATTTGGGCGGGAATCGCCAACGAGGTGGAGCCAGGGGTGGAAAGAGCAGCGGCAACAGCGGGGGGACTTGTGGTCGTTGGATTGATTCGGCTGTTACGAGCGGCGCGCACGATTAGATGCATGGCTGCGGAGCACAGCCCTTCCGCCATGGCTGCGGAAAGAGTTGGCTAAGGTTAGCAGAACTCCCAAAAGCGAGCGTGGGGCGGAAAGGATACGTTGCGGGGCGGCAGCCGCGGCGACGGCGAAAGAACAGGTCTGATGTTACTGGGGCGTGATCGTCGCGACAACGCTCGATTCTATGTGCACGTGCGCAACATACACGTGCACGCCTATCTGCCGGAATCTTTAAATTCCGTATCGGACGTCTATGCCCGTGAGAAGGCGCATGGAGGATGCATCAGAAATTTCCGGGAACAGGCAAGTGATTGCCGCCAAATGGCTGCTAATTTCCCTGATGTGCCCCGCGATGAGGTTCCACATGGAACTTCATCCTCAGTCTCCTCACGGCAGCGAAGGAGACTGGAGAAGTACGTGCTCTACCCCTCCAGAAAGGCTGCTCATTCGAGTTCACCTCCCTCGTACTCTCGAAACGATCGTTGGAGTGGGTGTGTGCGGTGTGGGTGGATGAGTTCAATTGCCTGTGCGTGTCGGGGGCTTGAGTTGGGTCAAGAAGAGATGAGGGGGAAGCCGCAGATGGGTGCAAGTGAGATGAGATGAGTCGAGACGATCGAATATGGATGGCTGCGATTTGTCCATAGGGAATGAATTGTGATGTGTGTGCTTTGAAAAGCGTACCCTGCCTCTTCATCTCCCCAAAACCATCCCATCCCATGCACTGCTGCGTCGCCTCTGTGGGTCTGTTCCCAATGCGCGTGCAGCTCCTGCAGACATGTCACTCACTCTCGTTCTTTCCGCGTCAGACATGTCTTCCGCCACGTTTTTGGATTGTCCCAGACAGTTTGGGCCATTGAATGACGGTTGGAGCATCTCTTGGGCCAGTGACACTCAAATGAAAGGATACGACAAATGTGCGTGAATGCGGCTGAATCGTTCAATTGCTTATGTAAGCATCGTGCGAATACAGTCGGACCTTTTGCGAGCATTGCGAACGCCCACACCAACTCTCCAACTCACCCCATCCATTTTGGCTCTCATGGTTGGGTCAGGCGGGCTCCTCCGACTGCTCTGTTCTCACTGGTTGTCGCAGATTGCCACGTCACGTGCATGAAGTCACATTGGTCGCTCGACTGCGAGGCTGATCAGACAAATTGCGGGTGATGCTAGCTGTACTGCCACCAACATCACCATTCTTGTCCAGCAAACATTCGGGACGATTATCTTATCAGAAGTGAGAATTAAAACAAATATACAAGTTTTAGGCCTAATATATAAAAATATAAATATGTATTACAAAATTGCAAATCATTATATTTAATACTTCTTTTAGAATTTACTTCATATTTAAAATGACATGGTTGCATTATGCGGTAGCTTAGTGCACAGGCTATTCTCCCCAAGGCTTTGCATTTGTATATGACACGGTTACTATATTTATGTAGTGTAAGGAAATTTTATTTTCCTTACTTCGCATCCCTGCTCAACGCGTACATCACTGTAGCACCACAGTCAGCACCGTTACCACTCGCAACCCTCGCATCGACAATCCGCCCGCCACCTTCGCACATCGCACCCCGACCTCACGGCTCGGCGGGTAACCCGCGCTCCGGGCCTCCACTTCGAAACTTTTCCCAACCTCAGTCCCAGGCCCGTCGCGCGACAACCACAGTCCATTACCGTTACCACTGTAGTTTCGCTATATATTCTTCGCTCATGCCTTCGCTCATTGTACTCTTGCTTCGGTAGTGCAATTCTCGTTCGTTCACTCAATTGCGCTCGTAACACTTGGTATTCAGAGCCTACGATCTCCTCTCGGACCGCACCCACACCTTCGCTTCCCCACTATCTCAATTTTTGGGGGGGGTAGACGTCTCTCAGCGACACAACACCGCCACTCGTATTGCTCTCTCGTAAGCACGCACGGCCACGACCGAGGCTCTCGCTGAGCTCGCCCGACACCCCCGCCATGGCCGAATTCACGATCGCCACATTCACGCAGGAGCAGCTCGACCGTCTGGTGCGGCAACTTAAAGATTCGGCACTCGAAATTGCGACGCTCAAAGCAGAACGTGACTCCGCGCGTCAGCAATCAATGATGAACACTCCAGCACCACCACACGCACCGACAAATGCATCTGCACAATCAAACGAGCCGACCGTCATCTCGTCCGGCACACCAACATAAAACAACAGCGAGGGACAGTATTCAGGCGCAGCCACGGATGGCGCCGCCCAGCCGATGCCTGGCATGGGAGGAAACAGGGTCGCACCAAGCCCGCGGGAGCCTCGCGAAGCCCGTCGGCACGTGGAGTTCGCGGCGACAAGTGGCGAACAGGCCATTATGGCACCAATGCCACTCAAGCCGCAACGCCCGCCCTGCTTCGACCCGAGCCGGCATGGAGGTCCGACGGTTCAATCGTGGGTCTTCACGATGAACGTCTTCTTCGACGCGAATTACGTCGAGTTGGACGCAGCGAAGATTCGGTATGCCGTTTCGCTGCTAACGGGCCCCGCCATGGACTGGTGGCGAGTCATCGTGACGTCGCCACGCACCTACGAGCCACCGCCGCAAGAAGAAGGGCCCACGGGCCCAGCTGTCACCTAGAGTTCATTCTGAGAGACCGCCCAATACCGCACGTGGGATGAGTGGTGCGCTGGGCTTCGGGCGCGCTTCGAGCCGATCGCGGCTGTGAAGAAACGAGGGGGGAATGAACTAGCACAAAGTTGGGTACAAGTAGGAAACCCTAGGAAACTGTACCCCATAGTATCTACCCCACAATAGCCTAGACAAGCTATATGATCTAAGTTTTACACACCCGCATAGGCAAAGTGGGGGAGAACAAGAGGTCACAAGACCAGTCAAGCAAAGCAAAGCAAGCTCAAGGTTGATCACAACATCACCACACAATCCGAGCCGAGACCAAGGCCATAAGGCCAGCTCACATGCAAGATCATATATAAAGGTAAACAAGCAAGTGCAGTACAAGCAAGGTCAAGAAGTGAGCAAGTGAGGCCAAGTAGGCACAAGACCTAGCATCGTACAGAAGCGCTGATGATCACCTGGCGGAAGTGCCTTGGTAAAGATATCACCAGTGTTGGCCTCAGAGGCCACGTAAGCAAGGCGAAGCTGACCACGCTGCTGCAGCTCACGAGCAAGGAAGTAGCGGAGAGCAATGTGCTTCATTCTGTGCTCCAGTCTGTGCTCCCGACACAAGGCCAGCATGGCCTTGTTGTCTACGTACAAAACTAGAGGAGAACGAGGCGGCTCTCCTAGGTCAGTCAGCAGGTAGGTGAGCGAGCGTAGCTCCTGTGCAGCCATGGCCCCCGCGTAGATCTCAGCCTCACAGCTAGAGCCGAGAACAGAAGACAAGCGGGTATACCGCCACGAGACAGTGCCGGAGCCAAGGCTAGAGGTGTAACCCTGTGACGACCACTTCGTAGCCCGGTCGTCAGCCCAAGAAGCGTCTGCGTGACCTGTGAGGACCACTCGACGTCGCCCTCCAAGCACTAGCCCCATGCTCGACGTACTGCACAAGTAGCACAACACCCTCTTCGCTGCAGCCATGTGCTCTGGTCGGTGTCTCCCAGGAGCAACATAGCGTGCCAAGATGCTAAGAGGGTATGCAGGGTCAGGTCGTGTGCAGGTCATCAGGTATATGAGGCAGCCAACAAGCTCTGGGTACGGGCCACTCGGCTCTACGGACTCATCCGAAGGCAGAGATGAGAGCGAGTGGCGAGTAGACAGAGGAGTGGCCTGAGGCGAGGAGTACTTGAAGTCGAAGCGCTGAAGGACCTGCTGCACCATGTGTGAAAGAGTCAGGGTAATGGTGCGCTGTGCTCTATTGCGGGTGATCTGCAAGCCAAGGTAGCTGCGTAGTTCACCCAGATCTGTGCACGTGTGTCTCTTCTGCAGCTCTGACTTCACGTGGGCGAGTCCAGCAGTGTGAACAGTGGCAAAGACCAAGTCGTCAACGTACACGAGGATGTAAAATGGTGGCTAAGAGGTGTCGGTGCGCAGAAACAACGACGGGTCGGCTGTAGAAGGAGCAAACCCAAGAGCCGCAAGTGTAGTCCTCAGTGTGTAGTGCCACTCACGAGGCGCCTCGCGGAGACTGTAGACTGGCGGCCGGAGGCTCCACTGGGTACTAGGAGGAAACGACCCACTGAAGCCAGGTGGGCGGCGCAGCCAGATCTCCTCGTGCAGGCTGCCCTATAGGAAAGCTGTGCTGAAGTCAAGAGAGTGAAGCTCGTAGTCGCGGTGAGCGGCTATGTGCAGCAGCACCCGAAGAGTGGTCATCTTCGGGGTGGGAGAGAAGGTCTGAAAGTAGTCAACTCCCTGTCGTTGACTGAAGCGTTGAGCCACGTAACGCGCCTTGAAGACAGGCGAAGAGCCCGGCAGCCA